GGATGGGGCTGGCAGGAGATGGGGTTTTCGCCGTTGGGAAAGGTGCGGAGGAGGAAAGAGGTTCCCTCCAGCCCGCTGCAGCAACGCGTAAACCCCGGGCTATGAGGACCGTGAAACCCAGGGTTCACCCAGTGCGCGACCGACTTTTCCTTGATCGCCCTGCTGTCATTTGAGCACTATCCTCGTCGTCTTAAAATAACGCCGGGTATAACGACAGAACAACGGATCGATGGAAAGCAAATATTCATGAGGGTAGAGTAAGCGGCCTCGTTGTACTTTCCCACCATTCACTTATGTCCCGAGAAAGGCAAAAAAGACAGCACTGAATGAGTAAGAAAGGCCACCTCTTCCCTCATGTGGAAAATATTTGTATTGCATTGTTTCACTGTGTTTTGTGCAGCTTATACATAATGTTTTTAATTAGCTTTCTGTGTCCCAAACGGAAAACTGAGTGCGCTAATCTAAAGAATGTCAGGTAAAGGAGTACTAGAGAGCTATTTAAAAATCAGTAAATCGCTATAAATTATGAACTTTGTATCTTCTCATGTAGAAGATAATGTCAGGAATAACGCCGTGGGAACAAAAAAGAAGGGTTTACTCATACTCCACTTGTTTGATTCAGAACTCTGATTTTTCTGCGCGTTATTTCCATGTTCATACTCATTCTGGTGAAACACTTTGCTAAAACTTATAACTTTGACTTCTGCTTGTGACATTTAAACAGACTGTGTCACATTCTGGTTAGTGATCAGGTAATTAGGATTCTGCAAAACCAAAAATTTGTACTCACCTCCTGCCACAGCTAGCGTTGTAGTTGGGGGCCTGATCCTCTACCCAAGCAACTTGCTATGGCTTCATTACCTTCTGCAGAAACACTGTATGTTGAATCCATAAAGGATGCCTGTGTCTTGATGCATGTATCTTGATGCGTTAAAGAGACATGCTTCATATTGAGTGTGTATTTAGGTGTTTGCAGAATCAGGACAGAGTTCAAATATGATACACTCAAGTATACAATGAACTATAATAGCCAGAAAATACGGAGTTTGGTAAAGAACTTAGCTAGTTGAGTATTGCAAAATTGCTCTGGCTTCTGAGTTTAGATACAGCAAGAACTCTTGAATAAGCTAAGACTAGTGAAAAAGTTTCTGTTTTATTAAAGATTACAGGGAAGCCATTTGAAAGATGTAAGCACACATACACACACAATAATATATAATTCCTGTAGGACTGTACATGCTGACTATCATGATATTTTACTAGTGCATAGGCATCTAAAAAGTAAAAAACCAAAAAGTGACTTGACTGATTTTCTAAGGTGACTGCAGTACAGGAAACAAGCAAACAGCATAGATGAGGAAAAATGCGTATAATTTGTAAATCCCTTCAGTTATACCAAACGAAAGCTAGTGTAGCTAATCTAGGGCATTCCCTCTGCTGTTCTAAGTGTGCGGGCACTACGCAATGAGTGCCGGATCCAGGAGAGGCCCTAGGTGTGGCAATGCTCAGCTTCACCACACCTATCTGCAGGCACCCTGACTCCGGTACTGGAATTAGGAACATCCAGTTCTTGATCCTGGAGCTCCGTCTGTGCTTCCTTACCCAGTGAGTGCATCAGGTAAACCTTCCCAGGACAGACTCCCGTCGCTCCTAAGTCACAATCCCACAGCATCAATTTTTCACTCGCTTGTGCCTTCTTTTATATTGAAGGTAGCCCAGATGGGCAGAGTTTAACCACGGAGAAACAGAAATGTCGGCTCTGCCACGTCCTACTGCGGTACTAAGAGTGGGCCATGTGTCTCAGTTCAAAGGGATGGAGAGGGGTTTTCCAGCCCGTCTCACTGCCTGTAGCCCTGACAGCGGTCCTGTAAGAGAGGAGGCTCTGCGGTGCATTCCTCTGCCCAGCATTTCTTTCTGGGCAGCGTAGGCATCTCGCCCCTGTCATGCCAGGCAGCGTGAAATCCACCTCTAGACTCCTGCACTGCCCAGGAAACTTTGGTGCTTAATCTGGCATTGCAAATTCCTTTCTGGGGCTAGGCACTGAATGCTTACACTTGGCACTGCCGAGTAGCAAACGTCTATGAACGGAGCCCTAAGGTCTTTTCAGCTGCAAGGAGCTCAGAAGATAGGGTCACATTTAATAGCAGCTCTCACAGTCTGTGAAGGATCCCAAAGAAACCTCTGTTGCAGCACCTACTTATCACTTGATGAGTCGTTTTGAACAAACGTGTTTTCGCAGAAGCGCAGTTTCACTGGAGCTGAAATGTTCCAGCATTTGCTAATTTTTATAGGGGATTTACCTGAAAGGTTTCTCAGATCCTGGCTGTGATCGTGTCATTGTAGGCTAGGTTTAGAATGACAGCATGAGAAAGGAAAACCTGAAGCTGTCAAAGAGAACTTGAACATTACAACAAGGTACATTTTCACAAAGACATTAGAAACATGGTGCTTTTTATTCCAGCATAGAACCAGGGCACATTTTGAAGTCTAAGAAATTGCCTTGAACGGAATTGTTATTTTCTGGCTACCTCTACTTTTTTATTATCTTATGTGGTGATACCACGTAGGAGGTACGTTACTCACATGCTGATGGACTGCATGAGTATATTAGGTGGGACCCAGTGCACCCGAAGTATGCTGCAGTCTCTAGGCAGCGAGACTTGTCTACTTACCTCCCAGTTTTGCTTAATTCTTACGCTACTAAGCCTAGAAAATGTTGCCTAACTGATCCAGATTCCCATTACTTCTACTTTCAATCACAAATGCATGATTAGAAGTGTTTCTTCTGGGAACTGAGCTGATATCCTTCCAACACTTCTCTCCTGAAAAAAGGTTTAAGCTGTTCAGAGGGCCCTTGGAAAACTCACGTATAATCAGAAGTACAAATCTCAGTGGCATTTCCAGCATCAGAGTGCACTGGATTTCACCCAAGAAGTAGAAAACCAGGACTCTAAGGACTTTTAGCTTGAAGAATACTGAACTTGCACTTTAGGCGAGTGTCCTAATGCCCAATGGCCTGAGGGTAAACATGTTCTGTGCTATTGAAGTTGGGTCACTGCATAGTCAGGAGCTCAAAAACAGGGTCAGAGAAGGAGAAAGTAGCTGTGGTCCTGGGTTCAGGATAAAAGTCCGAGTACTCGTGTACCGCAGGGGATCCGCTCCCAGGGCACTCCTGACCACGTGGCTGTGGAGCCATCAGAGCAGGGAAGATGTCCCTCATCCTGCAGGGCACCTGCACCTAACTTGATGTGTACTGGATCCTGAATCCTAGCTCTCTGCCCTTAAATGGGGAAGCAGAGCCTTTCCTTGATCCCCTTAGGATGCCTTTCGTGGAGGTAGGCAGGCTTTTAGGAGTTTTGATGCTGTTTACATGGATAAAAAGCACATTTCACTTAGTAGGAGCCTTTCCATTACCTCTAAGGATGACGTGGACTCCCAAAAGCTCCGAGAGGGTATGAAATTCCCAGAGTGACTTGTAAAGAAGAAAAGAAAAAGATTTTTATTTTTATATTCACAATAGACATTTCATTGCCATTGCATTACAACTGGTTGGGATGGTTTTTGTTTTCATTAAAAGCTGCATTTACAAAAAATTTCTCCTCTTCATTTTTTATTGAGAATATTATTTAAGATACTTTTGAAGGGCTTACAAAAACCTTTTCTTTTAGCAAAATCTACTTACTCAGGGGAAGCTTCAGTCGCTGTGTTGGAAATTTTGGCATCCTGCCACCGCAGAAACTAAGACAAACCATAAAATGTTTATGTGGAAGTGGCTGAAAGGTGAAGAGTCAAGTCTTCAACCACAAATTCTTGTGTTTCCAGGGTCATTACCTGTTCTGCCAATATACGATATTGGTGATTCCAGTTTTCAATGACAGTGAATTTGGCCGTCCTTCTAACGAGTCACATAGGCTATGTTTCTAAATATTAAAAAGCAGTCTGTGTTCACCCAGAAAGGAAAAAAATGCAGCTTGAGCTGCTTTGTTTAAAAAGTAGCATTAATAGTTATAGAATATGTAAGTAAAAAATCTGTAGATTAAAACAGCTTTCCCCTTGGTCCTTCTTAACCATTTGTTTTTCCTAATTATGTGCTCAGGCTTTCTTTTACCTGGAAGAAATCTCTAATGAAAGGAGAATTAAAATAGGTGGTACAAGATATAGAAGCCTGAAATTGGGAAACTGGATGTGACCTATACCAAGCTTGCACTAGTTTAACTGTTTCGACTACAGGTGTGATTTTTACTGAAATAGTTTTACTGAAATAGACGCCCGTTATTACCACACCCAGTGTTTCCATGCAGCTCTCATTTAAAATAATTTAAATGCTTTTTAGTTAGGCAGGAATTGTGGGATCTTGTGGGTGTGGATAGTTTTCTATATAATTACGTGGGCCAAATATAGATAAGGAGGAGCCTGGAAGAGATTGGCATCGCCAGGACCTGGAATGTGACCTTGGTGCATAAGGTTGATCATTCCATTAGATTGGCCAGAGTAAGTTCCTTCAAAACTTTTCCCATTCGTTACCACAATCATCCTTAAAACAGTCAACTTATGCAAGTAATGGGAATTTTTTAATCAAAACTGCATGGAGTTTTAGTAGGCTAAGGAACATTCAACCATTAAGTCCTCATTCAGAGCCTTTTTTTATTTGTTTTTTCAGTACTTTGCACAGATCTTTACGGCAGACTCCTGACACTACCACAATTCATATCATACAGAAGAATGAGCATAATAATACAGGCTACAAGTTACTGTCACTTTATGGAAAACACATTAGTTATTGCAAAATTAATTTGGAGGCTCTGCTAAAATTGAATAATAATGTGTCTGTAAATGCTTCCTCATGGTGGCTGAGCAAGTGACCATGGGTGACTGGGAGCAGGTTACTTGAGCTCGTTCCCCTCCCTACCTTTGAGACTCTAAAAGACTTCTAAAAATGAAATGAATGTACTCCTTAAACTCTTTTGTGAAGCTGTGCATGGAGGAAGGGGTGATTAGTATGATTCTTTTTTCCTCTATCCAGATGTAATTTGCCCTAGAAAAGTGTTTGTATTGTGTTTCTGGAGGATTCCACATTACAAAAATCCCCACACTTTCACAAACAGAACCCTTGCACACAGTTGCTCCAGGCAGCCTAGCTATTAACTGGAACATCTAGCTATTAAATTGACTCTCCACCAACTTAACTGAATTAACTACCCTAGCTGACAAATTTGCCCTGGCCTGTTGTGGTGATCCAGTTCAGTCTTTGCAAAATGAAATTGCCCTGCAATTGCTCTTTGTTTACTATAGAAACTAAGAGAACAGAATCCAGAATAATCTTTTGGATTCTGTACAAATAACCATTTTACTTTCTTGTGTTTGAATTTCCTTTGAAGGCTTTCATCTCTATCACAAGTTGCCCTCAATAGTACCTGAAAGCTGTCTCCTCATTCTGGTTGGATTGCTTCTTGGTGGGATTATTTTTGGAGCAGAGGAGAAGTCCCCACCTGTAATGAACAGTGATGTTTTTTTCTTGTATCTTTTACCACCCATTGTACTCGACGCTGGATATTTTATGCCAACTCGTCTTTTCTTTGAGAACTTTGGTACCATATTCTGGTATGCCGTGGTGGGCACGCTCTGGAACGCCATCGGCATTGGAATTTCACTTTATGGAATTTGCCAGATCAGTGCATTTGGTTTGACTGATATCACATTGCTGCAGAATTTGCTCTTTGGCAGCCTCATTTCAGCTGTGGATCCTGTGGCGGTGTTAGCCGTTTTTGAAAATATTCATGTCAATGAGCAGCTTTACATCCTGGTGTTTGGAGAGTCTTTGCTGAATGATGCTATAACTGTGGTAAGTTACTTGATAAATGAATGATTAGTTGATAAAAATGATAAGTGGTTGTTTGCATGACACTCCATTATCTCTCTTTGTATCTGGTTATTACAGTTTGCTAGTAGATGGAAATCAAGGACTGCTAATGTGTTTATGTAATACTCTAAACTTTAGATTTAGAAACTACAATAGTCTTACTACACCAGAGTAATGTGTAATGGTAGCATATTTGCTCTAGGGATTTTGCTACCTGATCTCTTTAGTTTCTGTGTCTTTGAATTCTGTTACTTCTGTAATCTGAAGCAGGAGGTTTTCCTCACCTGCAGAAATGTCGTTGGACAGGGGAGGGAAAAGGGCCAATGTGGGGTGTCCCAGCATGTTCACAGGGAGAATGGGCAAATCATTGAGATGGCACAGGACCGGGTTGATACTCGCCTTTTGCACGTGCCCATCCACTTGGAGCTGCCCTGAGACCACCGATACATTTCTCCAGGGCTACAGATGAGATAGGACAGCCATCTGGAGGCAGTAATTTCTAATCATTAACTAGCTGAACTGGGTTTGGGGTGCTGACCTGAGAACAGCAATCTGCAAATTCCATTAACACCCCCAGTGCCCTTCGTTTGTACCTGATGACACCATGTCTGGGACATTACTCCCATTTATCCATGCCTTAATATGAAATCCTGCCTGTGCCGACTATGTCCTGGCATGCTTTCTGTTTTGTGAGACACGAACATCCAGTTTTTCATATGCCAGAAGCATCAGAAAGATTCATTAATTGGGTCCTCACCTTCCCTGTCTCTGTCAATGGCTTCTTATTCCTGTCCCATTCTATGCACAATTGTCCTTCAGTTTTCCCCTTTTCTAGGACTTTGCCTCACCTGCTTAACACATGTATATCTCATCATTTTGTCTGAGCCTTGGTACTGATAATTTCTTGTGTGTCCGTGGGAGCACTGGGGTTTTTTTGCTTATGCTTTATGCTTTACGCTTTACGCTTTACCTGATTCTGTTGCTATCCAGCCAGCTGAATCGCATCGTCTCTCTTAAACCTAGCTTTTCTCATTAGCTTACAGGTGAAACTGCCTGCCGTTAACTAAACTGGTACCTAAGCCAGTCCTGAAAATAAGTGGGTGTAAATACTGAGTTTCAAGAGGCTTAGCAGTTCAGCCATGGCTGTGTCTGTCTCTATGCACTCTTAATGGCCACTCATGCGGTGGGATTCTTTTCATACAAGTTTTTCTGGGGGAAAAAGGTATGGTTTTATGTTAATGTAAAGGTGTTGGGTTTTTTTTGGTGGATTTTTCCAACCAAAATCACTTTTTCCAGTCACAAAATCAATCACCTTTCCACTGGAGCAACAGTTAATCTAGCAAGATTTGCTAGGAAAACACTGCATCCTGATGATGGAAGTATTCATGCGTGCCGTTGCCCAGTGGCAAATTACTCTAAAACACCATTTTTATAGGCTCTGGCATGGCAATTTAATAACCGTGATGCATGGCTTTCCTGTAGGCATCGTTATTGCTTTCTTTGGAGGTAGTCCTTTCTCAAGGCATGCCTGCCCAGGTGCCCTAACTCAGGGGGAGATACTCTGAGGAGCCTGCAGGGCCAGCCCAGCACACACACTGGCCATACGTATATTCATGAGGGAGTGAAAGGAATTTAGAGTACATTTAGTCTTATTTCCCAGCTATCGCTTAAAGGTAGCACTTGGCAGGAGATCAAGTGGTTTCCACAAGCTAAGCGTTGGTCTGTTAATAGTTGCTTTTTATGATTTTGCACACCTGCAATCGTGTGATTATACTTAAGACGTGACCCAGGCCGTCACACAGATCCCCAGTGGGGTGCCCTCGCCTCTCTTACCCGTAGCAGTGCCGCCGGACCAGTCCTCACTGTGGTGCTGCCAGGGTTACTCAGCTATGCACTCAAAGGAGATGATGTTTTGTAAATACTGTCTCTTCCTCTGCCCATATTGTGTTACTGGGAGAGCTGATAAAACCAGCTAGCTGGCAGAGCTCAGCCCCTTCCAGCTTTTGCCTGCTGGAGCCCTCGAGTCCCACCTGCCCTGGCAGGTGCCTCCGGCGGGATGTGGGGATGAAGCAGGAGGGGAGCTGAAGGCAGGCTGGCCGTCCACAGAAGCTGCCTAATTCCTACGGCCACTGCAGTTTCAAAAAACCCGGGGGCTACACAGATGGGCAGTGCAGAACGGCGTCGCTTTAGTAAACATGCTTTCTAAATACTTTAAGCCCTTCTTCCAGCTATCCCACTTACACCGCCTGGCTGCTCCTAGTAAAAGCTTTTATTAGGATAGCAGTGTCATTATGCTTTCCCTTTTCAGAAAACATGCCACCACACCTTCATTTTAGATAGAAAGCGAGGTGGGCTTTCTCAGGAATCTCAGCTCTGCTGTGTTTCTCAGATAGCCTTTCATGCCTGATGGTTTTAACAATATGCCCGTGCATTTGGATGATCCCTTTCCCCCACTGATGGAATTTTAGAGCTTGAATTTAGCTCAGGACAATGTTTGCCACTCGGCTTCTTCTTCAGAGTTGGTCCTTTACCGAAAGACTGGGTCAGTGATAATTAGCACAGTGATATTAAATGGCAAGATCACAGTTGAAGTTGAGTGTTAACAGTTCAAATTCCAGTTCTGGGCTTAAAATCACAAAGAAGGAGCCAGTGTCATTACAATAATATTATTCCCATGTTAGAAAACATTACAGCAGTGCTCCGTATTCCGCCTCTACTGAAAACATTACTTTAGAGTGCTTTAAAGTAATTTCAGAATTAAAAACTGAGAACTGATGAAAATAAGCAATTAGTGTCTAGGAAGAGCAGAGATACTCTTGAGACAAGATTAAAAAGTGATTGGTGACTAATATTCCCTGGTGTAACCTTCAGTGAGTTCAGCTGAAGGATGTTGAGTAAAGGCAAATCTTGAACTTGAAAAAAACCCTGTTCTCATACCAAAAGCATTACAAAATGTGACCAGAGTTGATGATGTTTAACTTACCTGAAAGCTCGGAGAGAGCTGTAAAACTGAGCTGCTGTAGAGTAAAAGGGAAGTGAACCTAATTTTGATCTCATTTACAGCAGTGTAAATAAAGAACAATAGGAATGAGGTTAAAATCGTGTTCATGACATTCCATAATCCTAGCTGCTGCTTCTAGCACGGCGGTCTGGTTTTGATCTGAGGTACAAAGGAGAACATTGCTTTTCTTCTTTCAAATAACTTACAGCAACAGACTTGAGATTTATGAGGGTATCTGTATGTGGAAACAACAGGCTCCATTCTATTTGCAGGGTGACCACTGTGAGGATGAGGTGATTTTATGGGAAGGCTATTGCTTGGGTAGATCAAAATTCTATGCTTCTTTACAAGCAGCTCTCAGTGGCCTTACTTTGGAGACTTGCCTTATATATATTTATGTAGTTACTTTTTGAAATATAAAAAAGGCTACTTAAAAGTCCAACTAAAGAAAATAATCATGTGCCCTAGTACATACCAAGGGAGTATTCTGCCAGGTCGAATTCTGTATGTGTCTTGAAGAATAACACAACCCTGGGGTAGTCCCAAGTTTCAACAAGTGACTCAGGGGAACTCCTCTCCTTGCAGGCAACACAAATCAACAATATTTTTTCTTTAGCCTGTCATTCATGGAGACTCCTGGGAGTCTGTGGACTGAGAGGTCGTTGTAAAGTGACCAACAAAGGCACACCTATTGTCAATAAGCTTAATTCTGGTATACTTGTCTTCATGCACATCCATAAGGTTCACAAATCAAAACAGGTTGAAAACCAGTGAAGCCTATGACATTACTTTCCTGTCCTGCACAGGACATAGTAACAAGGAACAGGGCAAAAAAGCTGGGAATCTGCCTCAGAGCAACAAGATGAAGGGGTTTGTCCAGGTGAAAAAGGACACTTCTCCCAGGTGGACTCATCCTGAGGGCATCATTCTTATCAAATAAATAGTTCATGCTCCTGCTCTTGCCCTGTTAGTTGCTTTGTAATGAAAATTGGAAATGACTGGTGACCATGCTAGGTTTGATTTAACCTTCTTTTTTTCATGCTTGCTCTGGAATATGTTTTTTCTTTTCTTTTTCAGTTCTTTCCTTTCACTTAGCCCAAAGGACCCACAATAGGCCATGTCTTTGCATTAGTCTATAGTGAGAACTTTTACCTCCGTAAGACCTATCAAATTTTGGCCAAGAAAAGCTGTACAGCTTTCTGTTGTGTGAGAGAGAACAAGATTGTGAACATGACAAATCCCTCCCAGTCACTATTCAAACACCTACATTGTTGGCACAATGCAAGTACTGATAAAACGTTGTTCTCTCAAATAGCATTCCTGATAGAGAAGGCTGTTTGGTGTACTAAGGAGTCCAGAAAGAAAGCAGAGGTTTAACTTCTGCAAACTGTCCAAGATAGTCAGGTGTTTATTATGACCAAGGTGGCTTAGCCTGTGAACCCGCTTTGCCCTTCTGGCTTAGATCCTTTTTGTGATAGGAGTAGGTCCCTATGACCAAGCTTAGATCTGCACAAGGGGACTAGGTAGCCATCGTGGTATCGCATGGCTGGGAGCATACATGGAGCACCGGGCAATGCTTAAATCTCCCAACTAAGTCTGCAAATGGGGAGACCCTTTAAGGTTTCTTTAAGAACAACTGATTCCATTTGTTGTCTGTTTTGTAGTAACGAAAATACTGGATCTTAGAGGAATGTGAAGTTTACATTGTTCTGTTTCCTGTGTAAAACAAAAAGGCTCTCTGCCTAAGAAAATGTGATAATCCCATTGACCCAGTTTGTTTTGGAGGATGGTTATAAACTCTTTGAAAATTAAACTGAACAAATACATGGTAACAGGTCTTTTAATGGGAATTAAATCCAAATCTCTAGAAATTATCAAAAATCTGAGACGTCTTTAAACCATTGGATTCTTAATGGTCAATATATCAGAGAAAGAGCACTTCATGGATGCCATGTTTCCTGTAGTCCTTGCGGTGGTCACTGTCCATCCCCTTTCCCCCTCCACCCCATGCCAGATGGATCTATGGTCTAATTCAGTACTGCAGCTCTCGGTGTCATGTAGATTTTCAAACACATTTGAAAATAACCTGATTTTTCACTGATTATGAAACTGTATTTTTTCCTCCTCCTTTTTTATTTCTTTGATTCTGGGGAAAATCTGAAATAGCCATTTGTGGAAAAATTAGAAGCTCTGCAAATAAATGAATTTAAAGAAAGATTAGATAAATATATGCTCTTGGCCTGCAGAATGGCATGGGTTAAGAAACCTTTCCCATTTGCAAAATGGGAATAATGATATTTACCCTTCTTTGTATATCTCCCTGATATTTATGGATGACAAGTAATATGCCAGAGGTAAACAACAGCATATCTCAAAAGTGAGTTCAAGGTAGATAGAGAAAGTCAAAGTTCAACATTGAAGCAGAGGAACATAATGACACAAAGGGGAATTAAGAAGAGTTCAGAAACATAACATGCTTTCTTTTTCCTCATAGGTCCTGTACAATTTGTTCAAGTCTTTCTGCCAGATGCGCACAATTAAGGTTATTGACATATTCGCTGGGATTGCTAACTTCTTTATAGTGGGGATCGGTGGAGTATTGATTGGAATCCTTTTGGGATTTGTAGCAGCCTTTACCACCCGTTTCACCCATAAAATCCGAGTGATTGAGCCACTCTTTGTCTTCCTGTACAGTTACTTGTCATACATAACAGCTGAAATGTTTCATCTCTCGGGCATCATGGCGTAAGTACCCCAAACTTCAGTAATAATAGCACCCAAGTAAGAATGCCAAAGGAAATTGCAGAGAGGACCGGATTTTGCAAACTTTGCCATATGGCATCGTTCCAGCGTGCATGGCAGCGATGCTGGCTTGAGGATTTCCGGCCTCTCCCCTCCCGCTTCCATCCCATTCTCTCAGCTTGCCACCACACCAGCTGTGTCACTAAAACTGTTTGTGGCATCACACCATAAACCATATCTTTGAAATGTTCCAAGTTAAAAATAATCCCTTGTATTTTCAGTGGGGTTATTTTTAACCCAGATCAGTTTGGTGACCTGTGTCCTCATGTGACCCTACAACTAGGCATAGGGGCTGAGGGGTGGCCCACAGTGATGTGGGGGCAGCGGTGGCCAGGAGGGCGTGGGAGTGGTAGCTGGGAACTTCATGAACTGGCTTCACTTCTGATATTGTGAAACTACATCTTACACTTAGTTATGTGAGCAGCCAGTAAGTACCGTTCAGTGAAGACAATGTATGTATCATTAAGGCAAACTCCTGCTGGATTACAAGCACAGTAAGGATTGGGTGAATGTGAAATTTGCAGAATCTAGTCCTATGGTGATATAAGCCTTTATTTCAGTATCTTGATACATGTGCCCGTGTGTTACAATGCTCTCTGTATACATCATTATGTATAAAATAATATCATTCTTCCCACTTCTATCAGATAAAAATTTCACTCCTGCTTTTTCACTCCTGGGCTTCAGTAAAGAGAGAGCACAGCCTCTCGCTTAATGCTGTTTATGCTGTAACAACCTCAACTTTAGAAAGAGCCTATATGACATTTGATATACTTAAATGGTTTGCGCTGGTTCCAAATAATATTTTTAAAGGCCAGCCTTCTTTAATGACTCTGTATTGTTCTAGTGGCAAATATGAGTCATTCAGGCATTAGGAGCATAGCTTTTTATGAAAGCTCAGATGTTACTTCTGAGTATCACTAATACTTGATAATACCTCATCTGATGATTATCTTTTAGGAAAGTGAAGATAGGTTTGATATCATAGTCATGCAGTGTAAGGTTTTCTGGGGCTGGGAAGCAATTTACATGGAAACTTACAGCTGATGATTTCAGTAGTGTAAAAATAGAAATATGCCATGAAACAGGAGGGGTTAGTACTTTAATGTAAGTAAAGAGCTAAAGATTGCATGGGTTTCTTTCTCTGATATGAGCCTAAATAAAGTAACATATGCATCCACTTTGACCGAGTTCATAAATGTGCCATCT